GCAGTGGTATTTCCCGAAGTTGAGTGTTGAAAGTTAATCGTTAGGCTTTACTTTCCGAAACACTGTAAGGGATCTGAGCCATGTTCTTCACAAGTCGCGTAATACCTTACTGGAATAGTCTGCCATAAAAGATGGTAAGTTGCTCGAACGTCATTGCCTTCAAGATGGCATTAGATGACTGTTGGGCTTCTACCTTCCCTGAAGCAGTTTGATGGGAAGTACCTATTATTCCTGAGCTCCATTGCCCAGGACGTGATACTGCACCTTACTTTCTGCCTTTCAGAAAAAACCTATTGACTCGCAGTGTTGGAAGCCACAAGAACAGCCAACAACACATCAATCTGGACGCAAGATTGGCCCGGGCCACACATCGTCCTGTGCAAACTGAACTGAACTGAACTGCACACTAACATTCTGCCTTTCAGAAACTACTATTGATTCGAAGTCTTCGAATCCAACGAAACCGCCGATAATACAAGAAACTGGACGCGCGATTGGCAAGAGCTACAATTCGTCCGGTCAGAACTGAACTGAATTGAACTGATCTAATCTGTCGTCCTGACAACTGCTGCCCGCGCATTTCAAATCTTAAGGTTGTTTACCAAATGGAAAATAAAACGGAAAACCCTGATGCATCTGCTAAGCCAAAAAGATTTACGCTGATGAATGCGAAGTCCTTACTACTGTCGAAGTGTAGAGAAGAGGATACCAATAATATGTACATAATCAAGTTTTGTTGTATCAGTTTTCTCCAGATACGAGCACATTATAAGTATGATTAAAAGAATGATGAAAGATGAAACATTCCATAACACTGAATCCTTCGAGGAGCTTAGTTTTCTGACTAAAAGGTTTAAACTTCCTGTGGATACACCTTTATTATTGAACAAAACCATTATATCTCAAGAAACAAAGCTTGCAAAGATACGCGAGAGACACTTCAAGGTATGAACCCAGTGTAAAGCAAATTCTCACGACAGATAAAGAAACATAACAAAAACGCTGAACCGATTCCGGATTTTCAAAAAGTATTCAATATTTTTGAACAAGCTGGCGTGGGTAGGATGTGAATCATCCAATCACTTTCGTAGGTTTGACTAAAGACGAGGTAGTTATGCTGTCTCTGTCTGTACGCACATACAAATTGATGGAGGTGTGCAAAGGATTACGATTTTGGGGAAAGATCTTTGGTCTGAAAAATAGCTATTTTATTCTTGAGGCGGATAACAAATCGACCACGGAAACTGAGATTGGTCAAGTCGACAAGCATCATTCTAAAGTAGTACAGAAGACAAACGAGAGCGAAGATACACTCGAAGCGCTTGATCTGGACCCTCCACCGAAACCCGACTGGAAACCCCCCATTGACATACTTCATGAGGAACCCGGAAAGGGTGTGAATAAGAAGATGTATTATGTCTGTACGGTTTTGGGAGAACCATGGACCAAACTCCCTGATGTGACACCAAAACAGGTGGGAATGGTTATTGTTTAAAGTCCTCGGTTTAATAATTTTTAATAAGAGTATGGTTCTGAAACACTTACTTTCACACGTTCAACTCGTATGCTCGTGAATATATATATATATATATATATATATATATATATATATATATTTAACGCCAACAACAATAATAACAATACCTATAACAGCGGACAGATGGATCAGAATATAGAATAAAGCGGGAAGAAGGTGCATAAATTATCTGTATTTTGAGTCATTAACTCAAAGTTGATGTAGTCAAGGAGTAGAAATCGGAGCGCTTGATTTGTGAAAAAGGAAACTAGTTTGGATTATCAGAAAAGTAAAATTTACTCATGGCCTGAGTAAGCTACCGACTATAGTGCACAGTTGTGTGTATAATATTTGTCGCTAAGGACAGCTTATTTCACATTTGCCCGAGTTCCAACCGAATGCAAAAGAAACCCCACATCAATTGTTCTGTGATTTGTTTTGATCGTTTTGCTACAAAGTTAATTAAGTACCGCAATACAATGGTCATCAATATTCAGTTTATTGGATCATAAGCCTTTCGGACAGAGATAAATGCTCAGAGTGCCTAACACTTCTCTCCGAATTTACTTTTAATTTTCCTATCTTTATTCTGCTGTTCATTCAAAAGACAACAACCGAAACCAGCGCACGGAGGGGCATAGTTAATGGTTGTACAGATGGAAAACTGAAGTGAACTCCTAGATGTTCAATCAAACCAATACCCGTTACCATAAATAGGAAAGGGTATGTACTCTACATACTTCTTCTTGGTGAGTTTGGAATCAAGCCTTTCAGCCAACTCCCCGAGATGGACTGCCGTGAATCGCCTCATTTAATAACTCATTACAAAGTTACAAAAATTATTGAAAAAAAACACATAATTGATAAGTGGGCAAATAAAGTAATTTTCCAGGGAAATAACTAAAGATTGAATCATATTTGCCTGCTATTATTCTCTAAACTAAAAATAAGAGTAAAATATATAGAGCCAGGAAATGACGACTGCAAACTTAATTGGATGAATATCTATGAACGACTTAGGCGTACTGATCTAGGAGAATAATTTATACATTTTGCCTTTTCATTACAAATGTATTTGTTCTAATTAAGTTTAACTTTGATGCTTAAATTAAACTGAAATATCAAGTCGAATTCAGGAAAAGCTTATTAATTAATCGCTTCTTTGTTTCAGATATAGAAATTTGTATAATACCTTATTAAACAGACGGAAGTAAAAAGCAAATACTGAAGACTTTGAAACATTACACACAAGATGTAGAGTTCAAGATCAGATCGGGTTGATGAGTAAGTCGGTGTTAGCAGTCTGAGTTTGTTGTAATTAGCACTCGGACTAGTAATTCGTATACGTATTGAAATCCGCGCAGTAATAGTCCAACCCAGAACAAGGAATCGAAATGAAATCAGAACACAGAGCTCAGAAATGAAATCAAATTGTAATAAGCAGACAGAGGGAATGTACAAAGTTATCGGGTTCAATAAAACAAAGAAGTTCATAGTTCATGACCACAGAGTTCTATTTCAATTTGATTCTATCTATAAAAATTGAACTTTATTTACAATTGAAGGGGATAGTGCAAGATGGACTCAGATTATAAACAGACAAAGTACACTGGTATTTTTGTAAAGCCCACGGTATCTTTAACGCAAAAAAGATACTTTAAAATATGCTTATGTAAAAGCAACAGTAAAAATCCAAAACAATGCAAGTTTTGGAGAGGGAAATATGGAACACTGTCTAATACTTAAATATATTCTAAGCAATAAAGTTAACACATAACTAAGAAGAAAATATTGGATTCCTTATAAATCACGCTTTTCGAGGCCAATGGCCAAACGATATTGAGACGTAAGAAAGGAAGATTTTAGAATACAAAGCATTTTTTCAACTTATGTACAGAAAATGAAAGAGTAAATAGGTGATGGTTGTTTGCACAAATATGGGTTTTGGAATTCTCTTGTGTAAAAATGATTTTATTAATATTATGTTATAATATTATATCATTATATCATTATATATTATTTTATATTATGTTATATTATTAATATTAAAATATAACTCTAAAATACCATTCAAGCCGTTTTTAAGTAGACCTAGTCAGAGGTTTGCAATGTGCTTAGAATGTGCTGGAGTCTAAAACTGAAATGATATTAGCTGATATAAAAGTATGAAATGTGTTTTAAACGAAGCCCTTTTATATCTGTTTAATCAGGAAAGGTTGTTTCAAAAAGAGGCAGAGTCACATTGTATCCAGAGAAGAAACTTTCACATATAGGGTAATAAACTATGATTTGTAGATCGCAATGCAAACACGAGTGTGACCTCCTTTATTTATCAGCAACTTTTGAGTGAGTCTTCAATTAACTATGCTTCGAAGTAATTAACAAAATAATTAGCACCCTCTTCTTAATTGAAACCGTGATTATTTAAATAGGATTTTATCTATTTCATTTTGTGATTAGATCTATAATTTTGATGAAGACAGTTATGTACAGTTGCCCGTCGAAACCCGTTTTGTATCGAGTTGTTTTCTTCAGTTAATATAGTTTCAATGGGAATAATGTATTATTCCCATGTTAAACTTCACTGGTATTTAGTTACTTTGGATCTCCGAAAATTGGAATTCATTTTTGTGTTCTCTGCTTTACTGATTTTGAAAGAAGTACCCATTATTTAATCATTGCCGATTAATCTCCGCCCTACTTGACACTACTGAAGCTGAACCATTGCTACTATGTCTCATGGCTGTACAAAATTAATCTTGTCTTTATTAGGCAAACACAAACCAGAGAAGTTCAGGAGTGCAAACACAAGCACAAATGTTTTGATAATGAGACTTTTTATGGCATAGCTTAAAGAGATTTGTAGCGAATTTTTCTCGCTATCGATGCGCATTGACCATTGAAGTTTAATGGGGTTGCTATTGTCCGTAAATAACCAAATAATGATCAACTGACCTCTGTGCCTGTGTGAATTCAGTTACCCGGGTTTAAAAATAGTGTCTTACTGACACGTCGGACACGATTTTCTTATGCAAGTTCAATTATTACCCAAGGAGCTACAAAATCTTCTATATATTTCAGAAGATAATCCACTTTATTTGAATTTGAGATAGAATAACCTTGAATTATCACGTAGATAGTGTTCGATAATTATTCCATTTACTTAATCAAGTTGTATGAATTTGGACTTGAAGTGCGGTTTACAATCTTAGATTTGTGTTTAAAGTGTAATTCTTCATTTTATTCCCTTATAGACTTATCTGACATCACAAAACACCTTATAGATAAGGTCTGTGAACAGTGAACCTGAGAATAAACTAAATGAGAATTTATAAGATAAGTAAAGAATTCGTTTCTGTCCAACCAAAAAATGCGCATTCAGTTTGAAATAGGTTACAAATACAATTAACTGAGAATCGAAATTTGATTTAGAAATCTTAAGTATTGCAGTGTGCCAAAATTGAGACTAAATTACCAAGTTATATACCTGATGTATATGTATAATATAATGCTGTTTATTTCTAGCAGCAGGAATTGAACCCAAATTGGAATGCTTTTAGACAAATTGAAATCGTCTCAACAATAAGTACTCTTTTACTCCGAACGAATAATTTGGCGAATAAATTCTGGGGACTTTTGTAAAGTAAACATTTTTATTTTGCCGTCCTTATGTTTGCGGCTTGAAATTCCATTCATGTATTTATAGTTTCTTCTATGGGNAATTCGTGAAGAACTTGCTTCACCGATTTGGGAACTGGTATATATATATATATATATATATATATATATATATATATATATATATACCAGTTCCCAAATCGGTGAAGCAAGTTCTTCACGAATTACAGTTGTAATTGTCCACGAACAAATGTGTAAAGATTTTGCACTGCAATAAAACTATGTAAGTAATTATTTATACTCGATGAACATCTGATCTAGACGAAGAACAACATAAATGC